GGACGTTTCCTTGAGCTAGTATGCGTTAGGAGGTGGCTCCTTCTGTTTCTTTTCCCTTAAATGTGTGTTAGCCTTTTCTAGGACTGCTGTAATTCTGCTTTTCTTTTTTAAAATACATCTTGCTTTTTTCAATTCTCCAAATACTAGATGCTCACATAATTAAATTCAGAAATCAGGAGGTGTTTCTGCAGGTGTAATTAGACTGGAGGGTGCTTGCTCGGCCTCACAGCTTGTGAGGGTGGCAGCGGGAGATGGGAGGTGCTGGATTAGGTGCTGGGGGCGATGGATAGATTAGTGAGGACAGAGGTAGGAGAGTTCATGGGGTACAGGCTGGGACTGAGGTGGATGAGGAGTTGCAGGCTGGGAGGTGTTAGAAGTTACCATGGGACCTGTACCCTACTCGGGCATCTCTGAGCAAGACCCTTGTTTTCAAGCAGGGATACACACAAGGGGCTGCTCTCTGCTCCCCGGTTCCCTCACCCTGTCCTCCTCCTGCACCATTAGAAACCTTCATGAATTATTGCACCCTTGACATCAGTGAATCTCTGCTCCATCTTAAGAGTTTTGCTTATGTAGATTAAACTACAAGGGCTGTAGGCTGTGGAGAAGTGTTTGGAGAGAATTTGGGATGAAATACGGTTATGTTATTGTTAGTAAAGCTCCTTGCAGAGCCATGCAAACTAGCAACACTTTTTTCTGAGATTTACTAAACTGAGTCTTGCAAACTTCAGTAGATTCTGAACAATTTAAAAATTATATTTTAGAAGAAATGATTGTTTGCTTCATAAAATAAAGTACGTGGGCTTTTTTTTCTGTGTGTTTAGGGAAGTTTCTTCAATTGCCCTAAAATAAGCTAACATTTTCTCTCTATTAAGTTGTTTTAAGATTGTTTTACTAATAATTTAACATTTCATTTAAAGGACTTCAAAAACCAAGCACTTTTGTAATTAAGCTTATACATAAGCTTTTGTCATATAGTTCTGACATCCAGTTGTAGTCTGTGTAAGTTTTAAAGGAAGTTCCATTGCAGGACCAGTATGAATCCATATGCATTAAGAGAGCAGTGTTAGTGACTGCAAGCTTTCTCCTTGGACTCCTTTCCCTAATTATAAATCTTCCTTTTTTTTTTTTTTTTTAATGGCAAAAAAAGCGTAATGCATAGTATGTCTAGTCTGGAGGGCTTTAGTGTTTGGTGATGTATGTTTTTTGTTGATGTAAAATAATTTGCAGATTATACATGCTCCAGAACTTAGTTATGCTTTCAGCTGCTGATGCTGTAATTTTCAGTATTTTTCTTCCAGTTTGGTCATTCTAGAAATAACATCTAAAGCTGTTTCCCACATCACAACTGAAGAGTTGTCATGTTTATTTAACCAGCTCCATCTGGCTTCCAGAAAGTCCCAAATTTTAGTTTTTCACAGCCATGCGTGGATTCCTGCCGTGCCCACAGAACGCAGAGAAAATTTTTGCTGAGCCTGGTTTTGTTTGTTGAAAAAAAAGCGTCCCCTTTGCAGAAGAGGTAATTGAATGTTTTTCATATCATGCCCTACCTTGCAGATTCCCCAGTCCTTAGAGGGGAAAATACAGATGATTTGGCACGGTCCCACTGCTGGCACCACTGCATGTGGAAAAGGTTTTTCAGTGGTGTTTTTTTGGGCCAGGCTGGAGATGATGAGGTCAATCCGCTGAAGCAGCCAGTGCCAAGATTTTAACCACCACACTGGCATGCTGTGGGGACCGGGAGGGTATGCAACCCTGCCGCCACCTCGCAACCCCTGGGGAGAGCCACTGCCCTTGGCCCTTGGGCAGCTCTTTTGCACACTGGGTTCAGAGCATGGCCTCTGCCATTCAAATACCAGCATCCTCGGCCATGCAGCCTTCTGTCTATGCTTACCTTGATAATAACCTCCCTGCCACAGTTTATAAAAGAGAAGGAAAATCTTCCATATGGTCTTTCTGCAGGTATATCACACCGGAGAGGAATTTCTTATGCTTGTCACTGAGAGCTCATACCGGAGCTGCAGACGGTAGATGACACGTACAGCACAGCCTAAATGCAAATTAAGCAGAAAAATATGATTTTTAAGAGTAGAGAAGTACTGATAATAGGGGCAGTATTTTCTGACTGTTTGCAATTAAAAACATCCTCCCCCAACAGTTAACAAGTTGTTGTTAGAAGTTGAATGGAGAAAAGTCACATGTGCTTCTCTGATTTTAAGAATTCCAGATTTTATTTATAATGCAAGACACTACCCTCATTTCATTTCGAAAATGCAACAAACTCTTTTTCCCCAACTCTGCCAAATCATCTGATATTTTAACTTGCTTCTAGTAAGAGCGTACCTTGACCCTCCATTCTGTGTGATTGCCTGCTGAGATGGGCAGGGGATGAGCCACAGCAGTCAGGGGAACGTGAGAAGCACCTGAACAAAATGCAGCGAGCAGCAGCCGTGCTCCCCAACCCGCTGTGTGTGCAGCAAACCCAGACGCCCGTACACAAGGTCATGCTCCAGATCTGAATTGCAGAGATGTGTCAGCACGATGGGGGGAGGCACATTTGAAGTGTCTTGTGAAACAGGCACAGGGAGGAAAGGACAGAAGATAGTATTACTGCTGATGAACTGCTTTTTTACTGTTTAATGGTGGTTACTACATGTGTGGATTCAGGCTGATGAGAAGAGAAACCTGCTTCCCCAGCAGATAGTGGAAGTTGTCCCCCTGGAATATATAGGCAGAGGTTTCTCTGTTAGCTTGCTGGCTAGTGTCACTGTAGGGAGGACAGAAAAGCCTTTCCTCAGGGCAATGTAAAGGGATTCCTGTCAGTGAACTGTAGTCGGGTGTATGGTAAGGAGTGATCTGAAAGGACAGAGAGTTAAGACATTACAAATAGTTGAAGGAACAAGTAACTTAAGTGTGATCATAAAGGATGTGAAAAACGTCCTATCACAAACATCTTGTGAGAAGAGAAAAGCTGTTTTGGATGGATTTGTTTTAGTTATATGAATAAAACATGTATGTAATATTTAAGGCAAAGAAATTGCTCTATGGGAAATGGAGTCCAAGCAAAAGAATGTCTTAAGATGTATCTTGGTACTGTGTTGTTACATGAGTCTGCTTTGGGTAGGTTTGGTTTGGGTGATGCTTTGTTTTCGTAGGATGTGTGTGCTGTAATTAGCTATTTGGAGAAGAAGGACTGTCAATTGTTTTGCTCTGGTTTTCCTCTAGCTCTTGCAAGACTGTGTTAGGTCTACCTAGATGTCTGCAACTTTGAAATAATCTTTTAGATTCTCTGTTACACAATAATTAATTTTGGGGTATCTGTAGTGTAAAAGCAGAATGGTGTATTGGCAAAATTTCATGTATTCATATCTCCTTTTGGCATTTCACAAAGATTGGGAAAAGTGATGTTTCCAAAGTCCAATTTCTTAATCAGGTTATTTTTCTGATTTTTAAGATTGTGAAATAGGCATGTTTTACTTACTTTTGCAAGCTAGAGCCTTAAAAGTGTGGGTTTTTTTAAAACAAGGTTCACTGGTCAGTGATTATTTTATATGAAAAGTTTTATTTTATTCCTTTTCGTTCATGTGTGTATATATAAATTCACACATATAAATACACTTAGAATGAGCCTTATACAAATGCTTGTTACTAAATCACTTGTTAAAATATAGTACTCAAGTCTACATTGTCTTCACAGTTCAACTATTTTGTTTTGTTCTTTACACAGGAGCCCTTACCAAAGTAAAGGAGAGTAAGCGGCATGTGGAAGAGGGGAAGATGGAGCTCCAAAAAGCTGAGGGCATTCAAGAACGCTGTAACATTATCTCTTTTGCGACCCTAGCAGAAATCAATCATTTCCACAAAATTCGTGTGAGGGACTTTAAATCACAGATGCAGCATTTCTTGCAACAGCAAATACTCTTTTTTCAAAAAGTGACACAAAAGCTAGAAGAAGCTCTTCACAAGTATGACAGCGTTTAATCTCTGAACTTTGATTTGTGGACTTCCCTCAGCATGAATGTGACCCAGGCGGCAGAGCAAATGCAAATGCTGCTGCTGCAGAACGGTTGCCAGCAGTAGACGGTGGTACAAGGATGGGTTTGTGTTCACCTGGACCCCCGGGTTAATCTCCAGTTATGTAGAAAGGAAACAGTTATAGGGCTATGTAGTAGAAACAGTACCACGCATTGTAACTAAGTTATACTGTGTATGCCTACACTACCATTGTAACTTTTTTGAAATAATGAGTATACTATTTGCCTTATTGCTTTTTGAAATATGGTATTTTAGTGCATACTTTGTAGACCTCAAAACCCTTTGGGTCTTTAAGGAAGTCGGCTAGAAAAAGCCTGCTTCAGATGCCTTTTTACTTTCCTAGATTTGGATTTCCTAAATTCAAACGATTCTCTGTTTACAGACTCCTACTAGAGCAGCTATGTGATTCTGTGCCTTTAGAATCTATTTTTCCTTTTCTAGTAAGACACATTTTTATGATTGAATGAATGAAGCATTGATGCCTATGACAGGAACTGATTACGAAACCTCACTTTGACTGGAGAAAAACCAGCTGCCATCCAGTTTGCACAGCGAGTACTGTCTTACGACAAATATTGGCTCAAAAAGGAGAACTTAAGTCTGTTCACACTTTCCCTGAAAATGGAGACTACTTGTCACATGTACTAGGATGTTAAGCACATATACAAAAACACTTATACCCTTTCTGAAATGAATATTACAGTGAGGGTTTTTTTCTTTTAGTATACAACATTACTGTGAGTGGAAATTTGAAGAGCTAGCCTAATAAAAATGTCGTATTTCAAGGGGATATGAATGCAAGCTGTGTGACTGGAGCATTTTTGAAGTTTGAAATGATCTGCTCGTTGTTCAGTTGCTGATTCAGTTTAACTTCAGATTTGCATCTACATTGCCAGTTGTCTTGAGTTGAAACTCCACTGTGATTCATTAGTTTACTAAGTTACCAGTTTTCAGGAATGCTCAGTAATGTAAATGATCTGAAATAAGTGTTGGCTGAACTGACTTGGAAAACAGGTGGCGTTTTTATATTTTTAACACTCAAGAATTAACAATTGTCTTAATTTTTTGTATAAATATTTTTGACAAGCAGGGTGCATTTATATGTAAACACTATCTTTTAAGAGTTTTCTGGCTTATTTCGCTTGAATTAAGTCTGAAGTATGTGTTTCTTACCTATTGGTTTCCTTCTTATAGGTCAGTATGAAAGAGGGGGTTTATTTATCCTATCTTTTTTTCTCCTAAACAAAAATAACGAAACCTTCCAAGGAAGCAAAACATGTACTTTTTTGTTTTTAATTAATCAAAGATAGCTTAAACAAATGAAAGCCTCAAAAGGAACTTAAGCAACAGTTACATTTAAGTACAAATCATTCCTCACTTATGCAGCAGAAATGTGCAGTTCTTTCACTTGATCATGTGAGTTTCTGTAGCTTAAGCCCACACCTGTGTTTTAGAGGAATAAATGTAAGAATGTAGTTTTGGCTTTAAGGTTTATCCCCAAATGGTTGGAGATTGCTGTTTTATGCAAGCTGTGTTCGGCAGTGCTTCTAAAAGAAGTAAAATACAGAATAGTAAAGAGGGAAAAACAGTATTTGTAAAAGAAGGGACAATCAGTGGGGAAAGACTCCATTTCCAGGCTATTGAAAAAGTGCTGCAAACAACAAGATTGACCATAAAATAAGGACCATAGTCATAGGGCTGACTTGCTCTTTACCTTCCTCATGGTGTCTCCTTCTACATTCAAAACTCACCGCTTCCCCTAACAGCTCTTCCCAGCAGTACTCCAGCTTCCCCTATGTCATTTAATTATGTGAGATAGTGATGAACTAAGTTTGAGCTAAGTTATGTGGCTTACGTTTGCTTAAGCTGGATACTGTTTTTTTAAAATGTCTTTGCAGTAATTAGATCAGACTACAATCAAAGACCCGATCAGAAATTTATCTCGGTCCAGTTGAAGTATTCTAGGAGGTTGGTATTAATGACATGTACATGTCCAGGAGGAAATTAAGCTGTGATATGTATACATACAATATTATCAGACAGGTACAGTTTTCCCAAATAAACTGTCATGGCCTTCACCTTACTTTCTCATTTGTGAATTTTTGGGGTGGGGGGAAAGTAGAGGTGCTAATTGGTTAACCTTGATGTACCAAAAAAGCTTCACTGGAGTCCTGAATCTGAATTGTTGCAGAGTTCAGAAAGGTTCAAAACTGCATCATTGTTAGCATCTTCCTTTTTCCTCACTCATTATAGAGTTGGAGTTAGACTGATACAGGGAGCCTGAACTCTATTAATGATTACTGCACTATGTGAGAACAATGGTTTCAATTTTATTTGGAATAAGTATGACATTGACCACTCATGATTGACAGACTGGTGGATGGTGTGGTCTGAGATCTGAATGTACTCTACAGTAAAGTAAATGTATATTGTGTGGGACTTCTGAAGCATCAAAGGAAATCTAACTGAATCCTTTCAAATAAATAAATGTGGAGGAAAGCAAATTAGGTCTATAGCATAATGTTAAATGCCTGTGTTTTATTCCATTCCTGTAATTTGGTTTTGATGCATCGCAATTTTTGCATCGACAAGTAGTATCTGGTGTACTTGTGGCAGGTTAGAGAGGTTGAATTGAAAGCTGCAAGAAGATCCATTGTTGAAGTGCTGAAATCAGTGAAGACTGGAATGAACCCATCAGGGGAGTGTTACCTACTTAGAATAACCAGCAAGTGGAGTGTGAATAGTGTTTCTATTCAAATTATAGGGTTTACATTTAGAAATTAACAACCTGCTGAAATTATTAGATCAGTTGGTTTCCTAGTCCTTTAATTGTCTGATACTTGCAGAGAAGACAGCCACCTCTATTTATGACTTGTGCATGTTTTCTAGATTCTCTCTACCAGTTTTGAGGTCCAATGGCATGGTACACTTGATTTAAAAGTGTTGTAAGACCCATCTTAGAGAGATCAGTAGGAAAATTTTGTCGTGGTGAAACATTCAAGACAAGCACCAAAAAAAATCTGAAGAAAAAAAAATCAAAATGGAAGAATATGTTGCATGTAAAATTGGTATTTTTTTAGAAAATATTTTTAGAAAATCAACTGCCTACACTGAAAATGCCTACATTATTTGGTGAGGCACAGATATCTTTTTGGTGAATTACAAGACTGTTTGCAGTAACTTATTATTTTGCCAGACCTTCACTATTCCAGCTAACATCATCTTTGCTGGTTTATCTGCTCCAGCCTGAGTTCTTCTGGGAAACTTAAATGAAAGTTGTTCAGCTATTTCTCAGAAGGAGATCATAAAAATAAAAAGGTTTTGTCCTCTTAAATTCTCTAAACAGTTTGGCTAGAAAGCTTTAGTTCTTTCATACTTTGGAACAAGGACTTGAAACTTGGCAGACTCATTACCTTTTGCATCCTTAGATATGTCTCCTGCACTGCCTGTGAAAATTTGTCCAAATAATTCCAAGTTAAACTAAGGTTTCCCCAGGCCCTACTATGCTCAAGTTTGACAGATAAATTTTCTGTAGCTCCCCCTTGCTCCAAGCAATCTTGGTTCTAACCTCGATCAGCAGCAGCAGAGACTTACTCTGTCATTGTTTTTCCCCTCATCCAGAAGGTGCTGAACCTCCCAGACCAACCAGCAGCTGAGTGAAGAAGGTATTGGTAGGTCCTGGCATGGCTACTCCTTGAGTCTGGCCACGGGAGGAGAGAAGCAGCAGCTTGGAACACAAGTTTGAAGTTGAGCCAAGGCAGCTACAGCAAGGTGGAGGTGGGAGGTGGTCAAAGAGGAGCACGTGGGGACAAAGATCAGAAAAGGGCGAGGGCAGAAAGCCCTGTGACTACAAAAGCCTGTTCCTCTAGTCCCTGATTATACCTTGGGCTTCCAAAACATCCCTGCCTTTTGCTGTTACTAAATAACCATAATGAGCACACACTAAATGGGTAACTTAAGGTCTTCTGGAGGTGAGGATGGCAACCTTTTGTTTCTTTCACTGGAAATTACTTTTTGCTTGATGGTCAAAGATCTGATATGGCAGTTGAAAAGTTTAACTCAGTTGACGAACTGTAGATTTCAGGGCTGAAGGAGATGCCATAATGCAGGCTCTGTGAGGCAGCACTGAAGATGTCAGTACGACTCCATGTGTTCTAATATCTGTTTTTTTTCTTGGGGAGGGAAGAGGTAACCAATTTAAGCAGTCGCACACAAAAAACCTGTATTAAAGAATGCTTAGACTGATCATTCAGCGAAAGAAAAGGAAATTTCAGAATTAAAGTTGCCTGTGTAACTAACATATCAAGGCGTACCATGATACACGGTCACATAACTGGTTTTGCACCACTTCCCTGCCTGATTCAGTGCACAGGATATACAGCAGTCTCCTAGTCAACTAAGGCCCTTCAGGGAGAGTGTTGTCTGTACAATCCTTACTTCTTTTGCAGCATCAGTTGTACTCTGCACAGTGAGAAAGAAAGGCAGAGTGGTGATCAAGTAAGGGTCTCCGTCAGCCTGCAGAGTGGTGCTCAGAAAACTCGACTCTGTCCGTGCCTGTACCTGCGTTCTTCTATGCAATATAAGCCATGCAAAATAAATAATTCCTATGAAGGGTGTGCTCTCCATTTTGTGTAGGCTTGAGTTTAAACCCAGGACTTACTCTGAAAAAAATGCTGGGAATTCACAGTTTTCGCTCAAGGTAATGGACAATCTGCTTTGAATAGAAAAAATGCTACGAAATGCAAATTTCTCTGGGAAAAAAAAAAATAAGAAATTCATTTGTTTAAGTTGACCACCACAAATTAGAGGACATTTGTAATCTCTCAGCTGCCAAAGGAGAATAATAAACCCAGCTAATTTTGCTGGAATGTTGTGAATATAAACTCCTTGAAATAGAGTTTTCAGATGTTGCTTTATTAAGGTTTTGAAAAAGCCTCAAACCATCCTAAGAAAGTTAATACTTAGTCTTCAGAATGAGGTGTGAATATTATTCGGGAAGTAAGGGATGGGGCCATGTGTAGAGCAGAAAGGTGAAATAAGCCTCTAAAAGAATCTCGTTCAGGTACTGTTCATTCAGTGAACAGAAAGAGAAAGGCCTTCCTGTAACAATTGCATGTGATCCTGTCATTGGAGCCCGTTTAAATGGGTATTCACAGGAAAGATGAGTTAGTCATATGGGTTATCTTACTTCTGGCATTTCCTAAGTTTTGAGATGCTGATTTTGTAATTTCAGTAATTTCTCAGTGTAACGCAGCGCAGTATAGTATGTGCTATACATAGAAACATAAATTGAACACGAGCCGGCAGTGTGCCCAGGTGGCCAAGGCCAACAGCATCCTGGCCTGTATCAGCAATAGTGTGGCCAGCAGGAGCAGGGAGGTGATCGTGCCCCTGTACTGGGCACTGGTGAGGCTGCACCTCGAATGCTGTGTGCAGTTTTGGGCCCCTCACTGCAAGACGGACA